CATGGACATAATAATAAGTATTAATGATATAATGTTATTATTTTTCTATTTTCAAGTTATTCAATTTACTTTTGCTACTTTAGAAGAGATTCTAATAAAGGAGGCATCAGCAAGAACTCTTACTACTAATGAGAATATCTTGGAGAAAGCATTAGGGAATAGTAACCATCCTGGTCATGTTCCAAGGTGTTGGCTTTGGCATCACAAGAAAAGAGTACTTTAGGTCACATATAATAAAAAGACCACTTCTTCTGCTGAGGTTTAAGAATTGAGGCACAAGCTAGCTGAACAAAAGTGGCAAATCCAAGCATAGTCACAACAAATAAAAGAATAGTCTAGATTTATTGACTTGTTACCGAATCAGCATAGGTTAGGGCTTTTGCTGGGCAACATTAGCCCTATTGGGAATGACAGTTGCACAGTCCCATCTTAGCTACTACTTGAGGTAATATTATTCATTTTACTAGCCTTATTCATTTTAATGTTATTCATATTATATAATGATTTTCTCTTTTTTTTAGGGTGAAACCGACATTGATTATTCGGCAGAAGATGGCCATATGATTGCATTAGCATGTATGTACAACATTGCTGGCCAAATCCAAATTCACAATGAGAACATCCCTAAAGGGATAGTGAAAGTTAGTTTGAAGATGGCTAAGGACCCTAATTATAATTTGTCTTACCCTACTAAAGATGCAAGGACAGTAGTAGATGTACTAGGAAGCTTTATAGCATAACTGGTTCATCTCATATGTATTTCAGCACCATCTTCAAAGGAAAAGTAATTGAACTCATAACTTAAATTTAAATTTCCTCTTGCATGTATTTTGGTTGGTCTCTGACTACCTATGTGTGGAAAACTAGCCTATTGATAAGCCATGAGAAAAAAAGCACCAGAGGCTATGAAAGCATCAGTGACTAGTAGAAGAAGGGAAATGCTAAGAATTCAGACAAATCCAAGGTGTCAATCTCAAGATCCTAAGCTTTCAACCTCTAAGAATCCTATCAATGCACTAGACAAACACTAGAAGTTGCTTAGGATTTATGTAGAAACACAAGAAGGAGCAATGCTCCTTTTCCCTACAGAGATGTGCACAAATCCTGAGTTTGTCAACCAAGTCAACCATAAGGTGTTAGTTGACTTATTCAATCATAATGATGCTACTACCTTATGTAAATTATATATGAGGTAAATTTCATAAATTTCTAAAACTTTATATTAAATTCTTAGTTATATATATTTACTTCAAATCATTTAACTTATTTGTTTTGCCATTTAATATATCTTTACACCGCCATGCTTGTTAGGAGAGATGTGGCATGAAGGGTTATACTCGTCAGTCCCCACATGATCTCTCCTCATGCCATGACATAATGAGTCCTAAGCAAAGACTAAAAATATCTTATATTTTATAATTAAAAAAGTATTGCATCTATTAATAAATATATGAAGGCAGTCACAAATCAGCTGATATGATGGGGTAAGGTGGGGAACTAGTTTAAGTGATTCTCACAATGATGCCCTGGACCATCCAGATTTTAATCTGAATGGTCTAGATTTAAAGTATTATTACATATTATATTTATTAAAATAAAAATTTATAAAAATTAAAAAATAATTTTAATAAATCTTTTATTTTAAATATGGTCTAGATTTAATATGGAGGGTCTAATTTAATATTAAAATTTTTATAATCGATGTATATTGACTATCTAGGTATACTTTGCACTGTGTGAGGTTTTGCGTCAATTAAGTCAAAATTGTTGGATAAAAACTTAAAAATCATTTAACTCTAGCAAATCAACTCATGAGTTTAAAAAAACAATCTTATGAGCTATAAGCTCATTTGTCTAGATTTTAAAGGATGTTCCTACTTATAGATTTTTGGGAAAATTTCACTTAAGACCCTCTGACCAAACTTAACAAAAAAGAAGACCCTGAGAATACTAATATATCACTACACGGTAGGGCCACTGATTTGAGATTAAATTTCACGGCTAAATGATAGTATTGCCCCTTACTGTAAGAACAAAGAAAAAAGTTTTGTTAGCTCAACCATGACACACACGTCTTGTAAACGTGTAGAAAATCAGTGATACCTCTATTTCAAACCTGAACCAATAGAATCTCCCTTGAGCAAATGGGAAATTTTCACTTAGAGAAATTCTTATTTCACCCATCATTGCACGCATCTTCGATAAGGACAGATGACACACTTAAGCTTTTCAAACTCTCAAATTTAAAGATTAGTGACACCTCCATTATTGAAATTCCGACCAAGAATCTCCCTTGTTCGAGTCACTAGCCGATCGAGTACTACCTCTAACCTTGTAGCTTCTTTTGGTTGGCATTGTTCTTCCCTCAGTAAATATTAAACCAATACTTAGAAAGCAGTCAATATTGTAACAAACAAGTGTAATAAGGAAATTAAGAACTATCATAAGGTAATTAACCACGCACTAAGGTGACGAACAAGTCATTTAAACATGAAATCACACCGCTATGAGCATGTTTTACTTGGAATTCTTTCTCATTATAACAAACAAGTGCAATAAGAAAATTAACAACTGTCATAAGGTAATTAACCACACACACTAAGGTAACAAAACAAGTCATTCAAACATGAAATCATACCAGTATAAGCATGTGTTACCGATATGTTTTACTTGAAATTCTTTCAAACACATATGAGTATATTAGAGACATACAGGTATATCATAGACTTACTGATATGTTGTACTTAGAATTCTTTCATGTTGTAACAAACAAGTGAGATAAGGAAATTAACAGCTATCATAAGGTAATTAGCCACATGCATTAAGGCAATAAACATGAAATCATACCAGTATATCAAAGACCTATTAATATGACATGTATATTTTCTCTGTCCATTTTTTCGCACATTACCCACAGTTCTGCTTTCGTCAAATGATTTTTGTGTAGGAACTCCAGCGATAAAGGTGTCGTTGATCTTTAGATGCCCTAGTTCAGGTCTTAGAGAAATTCAGATCTCTATTTCTATTTTTTGCATCATAAGATTTGTAATTATGATTAATGATCCTTACTTGTAATTAATCATATACAAGAGTTGATCCTTTAGTTTAAGTCCTAGAAGTCAACAAAGGTCTTGCTCATCTTCAAACGTCTTAGTTCATATCATAAAGAGATTCATCTCTGGCGACAGAGGTGTCTATCATCTTCAATGCATCATCAGTTTTCTTGATCTATGTTCATCTTTTTTTCTTTCAATGAGGGCAATGTTATCATTTGGTTTAATGCCTCAATCGTGCAATGATATATCAATATTATTGGGTCTTCTTTTTTATTAAGTTTGGTCAAAGGATCTTAAGTGAAATTTTCCCTAGTTTTTTTGAGTAACTAGTCATTGGATACAAGTTCTAGGCTGCTAGCTGTTACTCAAGTGAATTTGCAGTTGGTGAGTGCGCCAAATACATTTATTAGAAAAATAACAATTAGAAACCCATAAGAATAATAATTATAATTATAATTACAAACTCTAAATTATTAAAATTTCAATAATAGACCATGGTCCTTAATTGCAATTAAAAAATACAAATGATCAATTGGGAAATCAACAAAACTCATTTGGGATTATGTGTAATGTCAGTTGAAAATTTATAAGAGTTAATTTTGATTTTTAATGTTTTACTATCAACAGACAGATAAACTACTTGAAAAATTAATAAAATACACTTGATATTATTTTTAAAGTTAATTAGGAATTTACAAGAGTTAATTGCAAATTACAAGCCAATCACTTGTGACTTTTTGTTGTCAATATAAAGATAAACCTTTTAGAAAATCTAAAAAATATATTTGAGATTATTAATAACATTAGTTAGGAACTTATAAGTCGGTCATGGATATCAAGCCAATCACTTATGATTTTTTGCTATTAATATATAAATAAATCGCTTGGCAAATTAACAAAAGATACTTAGAAATCTTTGCAGTTAGAGCCGGTAATTCGAGTCAAACCCAACAAACCAGCCCGAACCCACTCTAAAAAAGTTAGGGTTAGGCTTGGCTATATGAGCTTTTTTAAAAAAGTATAATACTTTAAGCCTTATCCAAATAAGCTTAGCTCAAATTGAGCTCGATCCGAATAAACCCGACCTCCAAAATTTTCAACTATATATATATATATAAAGTTAATAATTTTGGCCAAGCCCAAATCTAACGAAAAAAAGTTATAGCCGAGCATGGCTATATGGGCTTTTTTAAAAGAGTAGAATACTTCAAACTCAATCCAAATAAACCCAACCCGCCTGAATTACTAGTTTTATTTGTAACGTTAGTTGATAATTTATAAAAATCAATGGTAAATCTTAAACCAATCAACAAAAAATATTTTATTGCTCGTAAAAATCATATTCTGTTCTTGGGATTCCAAAAATTCAAAGTCTAATTATAATTAATGTTCATATTAGGTTTCTAATTGTCATTTTCCCCAACAACAACTTGCAGCAGACAAATATAGCAAAGCGTAAACAACTACGCATATCTAAAATAAACACGTAAGTGTTTGAGGAAGTACTCGATAGACGAGTACAGAGATAGTAAACGACTGATGAGGCTAAGCATCACTAAGTTTCAACTCAGAAAAGCATTGTTAGACTTTCAATGCAAAATGAGTAGTCTGATCCAAGTGTACATGAAATTTCCCAGAAAAGCTAGTAAACGAATCATGGAATAGTATGTGTCTATTGATTTTTCCAAAACCACTTGCAAGGCAAAGAGTGTACCGTTTACTGGGTTGAGTAACCAAATAATATTTTGAAAAAGAGCAGCTTTGAAAAGGATGAGCAATAGTGGACGTTAATCAACATGTAAACTCAACACACAATACACACCCACACGGCAAAGCACAAATGCACATGCACATATAAACTTTTACACTATGGCACTTTCCCCACCTTTTATACATTAGAAGCAAACCTTTGTTACTTCCCATTTCTAATTTCATAAACTGCAATGAATTAAATAAATTTGTTAAATAAAATCAACTACAAAATCAGTCCAGGAAAAAGATAATCAACATTGTCATAGTTGAAACATACCTTTAGACTAAATTGACATGAGTGAACGAACATACAAGAGGATTATATCACTACTAGCCAATATATCAGGAACTTCTTTTGGCTCATTGCCAACTGCTACTTAGAGAACTTCACTAATAATATTTGCACATTTAATAAGCTAACTCAGTCAAGATAAACTTTGACATCAATCCCATTATCAATGAGGGATTGAACCACAGCTCTAATTTTCCCTTCAAACTTGTCCCTTTCTCTTGGAGTATAACAAGCAGTGTAAACATCAGCTTCTCTTGCCCTTTCAGCTAAAATCTGGCCAATCGCTAAGCATGCCGGTATGTCGGAACGAGACCGAAGGACGGCTTTTATGTCCTTAGAGTTGGTGCCTGCAACTGCAACTTGTTTGCTTGTCATCCTATGAGTGATAGAAGCTGTTACAAAGCGTTTTGAGATAAGCACATCAAGCGTGAAAGGTTCCATATATGCAACTGTTCTCTGCTTGAATGAGACATGCTTAGTTGGATTCTTTGATTTCTTCTCTTTCTGATAAGTGTAAGGCCGGCTGTTGTCATCATCAAGGAAATCCTCTACGCCAAAAAAGCTCCGTGGTGACATGTGAACCTATATGGAATATACGTAAAAGAAGTTAGCACAGCTGTCAACAAGAACACTCCAAATAAAGAGATCTAACGATCCTTTCATTTTTGGAAGAAGAATGTTACATGATAATTATTTTCAATAAACTTTGACTGTTTAGTTTAGCCAGATGATCAATATCTATTAAGCATAATTTCTTTAATGAAAACAGAGCTCTAAACCATCAAATTCAACTAAATGACACAAATTTGTTCAAATGAATCATTTTCCCCTCTTCAATGGAGAAAATCGGGACCCAATAATGAGTGGCTTGTTGGATGCTACTAATGTGCTAAATGAAAACAAAACAAAACAAAAAACACATATTATAAAGAACAACCAAGCAAAAGAAAAAATCAGTTGCCAAAAATATGCTGACACATGAACTATGACCAAATGCTGCACAAAGAAGGCTGACGCTAAATCTAACTAAGAAGTAGGCAAATAATAAAAACAAAAAAAAAAAAAAGAATTTAACAAGAGCTAGAGAAATTACCTTCCCATTGTGGAAATAACTTGAGGGCGCATAAATCCAAGGCCTAACTCGGTTCCCTTCATAAGCATACATACTTTTGCTGCAAAGGTTGCCCAAAGCTTGTCTAAACATGTTTCTTAGACACTCAATAAAACCTTCTAATCAGCAAACACCTATTTCACCTGTGCCATTTACAACTGTGGAAATAAAAAGCTCCCTGTAAGTAAGAAGAAATCATATTTCCATTATCTATACAAAATTCTGAATAACCTAAAACAAAATGGTTCTGTGATCTATTATACACATGGATAAGCTTCCCTTTCAATTATGAAACTCACTCTAACAAGGCGGTGAAATCTTTTTGTTTCTCAATCCATTGCAATTTGTCAACAGATACCATTTCATGGAAATCACAGATGCTAAACAGCAATGGCATTGAATCACAAGCATGGTTGGTAAGCCCAATCTGATACGTTAACTAGTCTGCCACTTGCAAATTTAATCCAACTCCCTTAATAAATAAATAAATAATAAACCCATTTTCATTTTCAAGTTGTTTGCAGATTACATTTGTTCATTTTAATGGCTGTAAAAAGAAGGGGGCCCTTAAAGGTTGACATAAACTCACTTGGGCTCCTATTTGATATGATAATTTGAGATCAAAGTTATGAAGATATAAAACGAAAGAGAACATCTAAAATAAATCTAGACATAGGCGGACCTAAATTACAATCAGTGAGAGCATCTGAAATCTTTGAAATATGCATTGTTCCAGATGCTTTAACGAAGATGTCTTAGTAAGCCAATTGATTCAGACGACTCCTCCAAGCCATTGAAGAAGGGCAATGATGACATTCTTGCAATTTATTATCTTCCAATTTCATCTAGCAATTTATGATCACCTATGGAAAAACTCCTGAAATTACCTCAAATAAAATCTCAACTATTCCTTACAATACAATTAGTACCAGTTACCAATTCTCAGATGCACTGTGAATCACTTAAGTAGGTCAAAGACAAACAATAACCAGAAGAATGAAGAATAGGAGAGTCAGTGGGAGGGAGAAAGCAAACCGAAATGGAGTTTAACTCCGGAAATTGAAGAGCACGATGATGGAGTTGGGCTGCAAGCAACAGACGATAGGAAGTCCACGACGATAGGCGAGGCGGGTAGATAGATTTCAGAGGGACAAAGACAAAAGCAGCTCGGCGGCAGCAAACACCCACGAGTTCACGACGGCGAGGAAGATTTCAGAGCCTGCGCCGATTTCAGAGGGAGAGAGCGCCTATTTTTTTAACCAAAAAAAACAAAACGAGACCGTTTCGAAGTCTCGGAGGTCAAAAGGGAAACCGGTTCAAAGCCTCTCACAGTTGCGTCAATAATTTGAACGGTATATATTATAATTTTTTTATATTTTATTTTATGTTTATTAAAATAAAAATTATAAACTTTAATAAATCTACTTTATTAAATATTTTTATAATTTTATAAATTAATTATCTAGATATAATATGAAAATTTAAAATTTAAAATTTTTAAATTATCATTTTTCTTAATTTTTTTAAAGTGTTAGTTTAAAAACTATCTTTATTAAAAAGGAAAAATAACAATAAAATTCCATCAAAATATATAAATAATAATTAGATACTTTAAAATGTCATAATTTCTTTGAAATCTCTAAGTACCTTTCTTATATTAATAATTTAATGTTAAATGACTAAAATATCCTTTGTTTAAAATTAAAAAAAAGGTTCACATAAAAAGTTGTAATATTTTGTTCAATTCTTGTAATTTATAGAAAAAGATTGTGATTGTTTTAACAAAAGTTGTAAATGATTTATTTTCAAAACTTGAATTTTAATAATAAAAAAATTATGTGAGAAGTTGTGATTTCTTGTTCAATATTTACAACTAATAAAAATTATAATTACTTAAATAAAAATTGCAACTGATTATTTTCAAGATTTGAACTAAAATTTCACATGGACAATTGTAATTTCTTGTTTAATTTTTGCTACTCACAGAATTAAAGTTTTGATTTAGACTAGTTATTTTAAGAACTTATTTATAAATTATAAAAGAAATTTCATGTGAAAAATTATAATTTCTTGTTCAATTTTTGTGATTCACAAAACAAAAGTTGTAATCATTTAAACAAAAGTTGTTTCTAAAAAAATTGAGCAACACCTTTTTTTTTATTTTAAACAAGGAGAAATTTAGTCATTAATCTAAAATCATTAATGTCAAAAAAGTTCCTAAAAAATTTAAATGAATTATGACATTTGAGGGGATTTGATTGTCATTTATATATTTTGGTTGGATTTTATTGTTAATTTTTCAAATAAAAATTTAAAAAAATTGAAATAAGTTTAGTATTAAATCCAAACTATTCAAAATATATCTGAATAATTAATTTATAAAAATTATCAAAAAATTAAATATTAAATTAGATTATTTAGATTAATTATGCGTATTTAAATTAATAATAAAATAAATTTATTAAAATTTCATAGATTTTATAATAAATATAAAATAAAAATATCAAAATAAAGCATTAAAATTTGGACCACCCATATTTTTAGTTTGAATGGTCCAATGATGAGCACCAAAGCCAAATGCCCTCATCAACCTCAGAATGGCTAAGTGCATGTTTGGATTAACTTTCAACTTCAATTAGAATTAGCCAATTTGAAGTTAGGATATAAAATGTTCATTTCGTATTGTTTGGATTAGGAAAAAATCTCAACCTCAGTTAACCATAAACGATCATTTTTTCTGGAAGCCTAAAGACCTTGCTTTTAGCATCAACGTCAGCGTTAGAAGCCGTTGCAAGCATAATGATGTTGAATTTTTATGCTTTCTCTCTCTCTTTATGTATCTACCCATGAGCTGTCTGGCTTTTTTATGTTGTTGTGTGTGCTATTTTCTTCCTCTCATGACTGAGCTGCACCTCCAGATTTGCTCCACCTTCCTTTGCTTCACCTTCCAAGCTCTACATTTAGCACCTAATCTCGATCGATCTCCACCTCAATTGAAGCACCAAGATCTCCACATTGAACTTCTTACAAACAGGACTGTGGATGGCCAGGACTAGTAAAACATGTGAAAACTTCTTACAGACACCACTTCTAGTCATAGGTTTTGTGGTTCTGGTGATATCTTCGACAAGCTTCATTGGAGCATGCTTCCACGTGCATGCACTCTGTGGCTGTACCTGGTGGTGATGCTGCTTCTCATGTGACGCTGATTGGCTTGACGTTGTTAGGGTTCATCATGATGAGCTAGGGCGGCGGCGTGGAAGTTCTCAACAGGGCCTATAAGGAGTTTTGGCTGGACGGTTACTCGCCGTGGCTGAGGAACAGAATTAAGGACCCAAGGTATTGGAACACGACTAGAACATGCATGCTGGGTTCCAAGACTTGTGCTAAGGTTGCTTCTTGGACTCCTCTAGATTATATATAGAGAGATATGTCTCCAAGAAAGGCAAGCTAATTAAGCAGTATATATGCATATACCCAGTCAATGAAACGGGGGTCAAAGTCGCCAGAAAGAGCGCCATTCACTTTCCCTTCAAACTCGCACTGAATCTTAACCTGCTTAGAGGAAGACTGAGGAATGAAGCGAGTACGATGAGACTGGAACTTGGGAGGGAAAGGAAGGAAGAGGGATAAGGGTGGCTTGACATTGACACCATAAGGTTTCAGAGAGAACAGCGAATCCATTACCATTGGATGGCCTATGATATGAAAAGATGAAAATACAATACTGTTGTTTGTATATTTGTATGTTGCTGCTGAAGTAGAGAGATATGTCTCTGATTCAGGGACATTCGTGTAAAATATATATATATATATATATGTTATGATCTCATTCCTCCTCCTTCTCTTCAATTACATCCATGGTTTTGTTATTCCGTGAGTATATTGTGTTTGAGTACTAGTCAAGTTTATAACAAATGGTTAATTAATTCAAATCTCGTCGAGTCCTAGTATAAACATGGTTAATTAATTAAGTCAAGTTTATAACAAGTTTTGATTTTAAGTTTAATATTTTTTACTTATTAATTAGTCAAAAAAATATAAACATGCATATTTAAGATTTAATATTTAAGGTAAAAAAATTCATGCTTATTTTTGTCATTAAACATTTCAACTAGTTTTTGAATCAAATCATTTAAACAAATTTCAGTTTATCTAACTGATTTTTGAAAAAAAATGATATCCAAACATAAATCACGTTATATCAACTGACTTTTCTTCTAACCTCAATTTGCTAACTTCAGTTGAATCCTAACCTTAGTTGTAAATTTTTTAATCCAAACACACTATAAGTAATTGGTTCATCAGGTTATTGATCCAACTGGCTAGTTCTCCGGTTTTGCATTCTATGCTTATAAGTTATAACCCATTCTATTTTAAAATATTTATCAATATTTATATGCATTAATTATTTTTGTTCTAATAACATATAATTTTTAATATAATTTTGTAAAATGTTTAAAATTATAAAATATTTTTAACTTATTTTCACTTGATAGTTGATATCATTGAAAATTAGCAATTCTTTTTATATTTATCTTTATTTAATAAGATAACTTAATCAAAAATAAATATAAAAATATTAATGATATTAAATATTTTTTAAAATAATTTTTACAAAAATCATTACTTAATTCTCCCTCCCTTAAAAAAATTGATTTTGATGTTCAAAATTATATGAGATTTTTAGTTTTTCAATATACAATTATTGAGTTTTTTTTTTCAAAAACATCCTTACTAAACAAATCTTCATAAGAATAAATATAGAAAGATGATATTAGTTTAAAGATAATTAACTAACTTATTAGGAGTATAATTTGATTAAAAATATCTTATATTTTTTAATGAAAGGAGTAATTACTCTTAAAAAATCCAAAGATTTTATATTTTAAACATGGAAAGAATTGAAAAATGCTTTGCAATTTTTAACAAAATGAGCATAAAAGTAACTATCTATGTGATGACATGTCGTTGTGATATTAAGCCAAGTCATCTAGCTGATGTGTCATCCATGGTGGGCCTTTTCTTGCTGCATGCGTATTTCTCTTTTTCAGATAATAAATTAATAATTAATAATTATTCAATAGATATAGGTAAATGAAATTTATAACTTAAAACAAGTTTTTGCATTTTTATATCCTGCATTAATGATTTGTCAATATAATCAATAAAATCTTTCATCTTCGTACACATTTTTCTGCTTCTATATTAATTATTTAATTAATGACATGATAAAGCAATAAGACAGTTCAAGTCATGCACACTTGGTTATGGAAACAATCAAACAAATCAGTATTGAACTGTATTCCTTTTTCTTTTTTTTTTTTTAGTGGATAGCCTCATTACACTCAGATTGAGGCACAAATCTTACCACAGATGAGCAAAGAGACTGTCTGTCTTTATGTTTGGTGCTAATGCCTGTGTTTGGACCTAAACATGGCCAGATTCAGAAATTTCCTCAACCTCCTCGAGTGTAAATGTCTGTGTCCATGATGGTGGCTCTTCGCTGTACTTTCTTTAGTCATCAATTTCTCCACTGCAACAATGGAAACCAAACCCTAACATGAACATCACACGCCTACATGCGTACAAAGAACATGTATATGTATAAAGTTTTCATGAACTCCTCCAACCCTATTTATAAAGACACTTTCAGCATTTTTTGAACGAAACAAAAAAAATATTAAAATTTATTAACTTTATCTAAAAGTTAGGTAAGTTTTATATTTTAACAATGTTAAATACACATTTAAAAAAAATCTATTTTCTTCCCTCAAATAAGGATGAAATAAAAAATTGTAATAAATAGGGAAAATTACACCTAGGCCTTATAGAAGAAAATTTATTATCAAGAGATCCTGTAAAATTCACAAAATGTTTTAAATTTTAAATCTTGTACATTTATAACCTGACAAAGGATATTAACAATTGAGCAACGGACAATTACATCTTGCTATATTACAAGCTATCATTATATTACATGCTATCATTTTTTCTAAGTTGTAAATACATATTGCTTAATTGTGAATACCATTTATTAAGTTTTAAGTGCGCAGAATTTGAGACTTGAAAATATTTTATAAATTTTATAAAATTTCTTAGTAATAAATTTTCTTTTGTGAAACCTAGGTGTAATTTTTCCTGATAAATATCAATGTGGTACCTTATAAAAAGGGCCACAAAACCTTTTATTCAAGTGCATTATGAATAAAATTGGGTGGAGTAATAATCACGCTTGCAAAGGCATAGAAGTGCTTTTAATTGGGTTGATGATGCTTGAATTT